ATCTATTTGAAAAGAGTAGGAAGTTACTCTAGTCATCAATATTCACAGAGCGTTTTTCATCACCCGACATCCCCAATAAGCGTTGGGCATTAAGTATTTGCGATGCAGTGTTCTTGAAAATTATTTCTATTAGTTAACCAGCTCAATGAAGGTCACCTGAAAGATGTCCTTCATGCTCGATTACTAGATGAGCTTCGATAATGCATATATGTTGAGCGAAGTTTTACAACCCATTTCATTGCTTGCTGATGTCGTGAACTATGTATTAAGTGCATTTACTGGTTTTGAAATTTGAAACTCAACTTCATTTCGTGATTAAGAGGGCCCATTACTCTTTTTTGTCTATCGAAGCTATCATCTAGTCGCTGTTCATCCACTGTTTGCAGTTGTGTGTCGATAATGGTATTGGTGAAATGGTAGCAAGATTTGGAATCACAGCACGGCAGCTTGCTGAAAATTTGGATTGGAAGAAACACGATGTAGAGCAAGACCCGGTAATCGCTCCATGCTCACGACATGTTTCTTTTTCCTTTTGTTTCAATGGTGAAGGAAGATACTAGATTCAGTATAATATCGTAATACAGTGTGAAACAAAATTTGTTTTAAAACTCGTAACATCTGGTTAAGGTTGCTCCCAAAGTGGCGGCAGCAGATTACACGAGCTCGTCCTTCCCTACTCCTGAAACCGTCATAGCGGGAGCGATTTACATGATGGCTCGTGAACTAAGTCGAGAACCAATTGTAAGCCTTCCTGTCAAGTTTGCTCATTGATTTTTCACTGCTTATTTTTCTCTGATAATATTTTCACGTCATTCATTAAACTGAAGGCACGCGAGCGTATTCGGTCGGTGTATCGCGAGAATGTAAAGCTCTACATTCATCCAACTCAGAAAGGTCGCGAACATTTGGACGAAACGAGTCCCGTTTGGAAGATGAGGTACTATCTGAAATGTTGTTTGGCGCCGTCCCAGAAATCAGATCGCAATAAATTGTCGTTTTCAGATATGTGAAGGGCAAGCCAGTATCATTACTGGAAGAAGACGAATATTTATATTACCATCAAGCGAAAGTAGCGGAACACTTGGAAATCAAATTCGTGTTCGAGAAGGATGTGGATGATACTATGCCCGTAAGAAACCTGTCGGACGCTCTTCTAGCAGAACAGCCATACAGGGTGGTAAGTGTGATTGTATTCTTTCTTGTACAGAATTTCTGAACCGATTTTTTTGCGTTCGCTTGATATTCCTCATCGTTTCAGGACGAGTATTCCGAAGTTGTCGAGGAATGGAATTCAATACGTGAGAAGGCCACAAGAATGGCTATCGATGAGATGGTACTTCCCTTCCTCGAGAAAGAACTGGAAGAAAAATTGCTGGAAGAGGCGAAAGAAAGTGTTCTATTGGTCAGTATTTTGCCAACAAAGCAGAAGTAACTAGATTTATTCATTTCATACCAGATATCCTATTTCAGAAATGTGCAAAAGCTATGTATACGCGGCTGGAGCCAGCAGCATTTCAACCAACAGAAGACCAGTTGGAAGACGAAGATGAGGATGTCGCTCGCCAGGTTTGTCG